TAGTGATTAAGTAAGAACAAGAACAAATTTATTTTTACTTTTACATCTAGTTTTGCCCACCAAATATAAAGGCAACTTCTGTCTGTCAGGACTCATTTCTTCACCTGATACTCAGATACAGTTTCTACGCCACCATATTCTCACATCCGACACTGTATCCCCCTACCGCTTAGATAGCCTGCCACCTCGAATCATTCCATATTCCTGTGCCCTGTAATCGTGATTGCAATTTCAGCCATTTGCCTCAGGTCAGCCAGTCCTGGCGCCCCACTTGACAGCGCAATAAACGAGAAAACAGTGTCACCTGCAATTAAAGCAAGAGACTGCAACTGAAGAAGACTGGAGACAACGCTTGCACAACGAAGCCCCAAAAAAGTAAGTGAATTTATACTTTGCGGAAGAGTAAAACAAGAAAAGAGAAACACAGAATTCTCACTGTCAGCAGTCATTTAAAATGAGAAACTTTACGTTCGGATAACAAGAATATAGTCAAAATTTATAAATAAAAGTATGAATATTCTTATAAGGTACAATATCTCTCTCTATGGCTCTATAGCCCTTTCGACTTTGGCCGCTTTTTCAGTTTCTTAATCCCATACACAATTAGTAGGGCTCCTTGGACGGGGGATCAGCCCGTCGCAGCGTCACTACCTATGCACAGAACAACATAAACACAGAATAAATGCACAAGCAGACATCAATGGCTCGTGTGGGATTGGAACCCAAGTTCCCAGTGTTCGAGCGGGCGAAGACTGTTCATGGACTGCGGAGCGACTGTGATTGTACACTGTACACTGTGTGTACAATATATTTTTTTCCTTGGCACTACAGCCCCAGTGAGCCTAGGCCTACCTCCATAAACTTGTCTGTTCACTTCGGTTTTTCTAGATCTTACACATTCGGTAGGACTCCTTGGGCGGGTGATCAGCTCGTCGCAAGGCCTCTGCCTGTACACAAACACAGAAAAATGCACACACACAAACTCAACATCCATGCCCTGAGTGGGATTCGAACCCACGATCCCGGTTTCCAAGAGAGCGAAGACAGTGCTTGCCTTAGACAGGTACAATACAGATACGTGTATATGTAATTATAAACTAGTTCACTCTTAGAACTACATTTCTGACAGGTTTTGTTTGTGATATATGTTTGAACTGCGTTACAATAAAACAGTTTAGGTAAAGTCTTGCCCCCATCTTCTCCCGGTTTGGGTTCGATGTAAGGTTCCGGCTCTCAGGACTACGTCGATTCCAATATAAAGCGTTTTATGACGTTTCGGCGAACCTTGTAGTTTCGGGATGCTTCTCTGTTCGTCTAATCACGGATTCACTTCAATCACACTGCCTAACGCGAGAGCTATATAAATGTTAAGAAAACCCTCCCGAAATCATTAAACTTTAAGATGAAAACTACAAGGTTTGCCGAAAGGTTTGAATAACATCAAAATTCGACTGGGTCTAGTCCCAAAATTTGAAACCACGCATCAGTTTACGCAAAGGTCGCTAGGTACGCAAACACCATCTTACAGACATTCGTGAGTAAAGTGTCTTCTGCTGACGTAAACACCACACGTGTCTCAGACATCGCAAACAACTCGCTTTTATGTACAGATATACATAGTAAACACTGCTACTAAAAATAATTAACATTTTTATGGTAAAGAACATAGAGAAAACTAAGTATATGTTGCTGTTAGTTAGATTATTATGTTAAAGAGTGCCTCTCTATTCATTGCACGTCAAAATTAACCGAATTTTACACAGTACAAATTTGTCTGACTTCTTCAAAACACTTTGTATTGTCGGTTTTGAAGGAACAAGAAGATGGTTTGTTGAGATGCCCATTTGGGAGTTCGGTCCTGTTTTTGTGTTTGATTTACTTCGCTGCTTATTGCTTTGAGAAGAATGTTGATCCAAATTTTGTATAATTGTTGCACTACAATAATGTAATGAAGTGTCTTAGTGCCTACAACAATGTTTTCTGGTAAACCTGCCTTATGATGCTAATGTGCTTCTGTAACACACTACCGAAGGCCACCGACAGCTCCTATATTGTTTCAGTTTGAATTTAAAATGTAGATGGAACAAAAATTTTAACGACATGAAGTTCACGGAAACTACCAATCTGGTTAATTTTAATGAGCGAACCTCACAATTATGCATCAGACACGCAATAAATTCAGTTAGCCTTATTTACAAGGAAATTGTAGCTAGACAATCGGCTCACAGATAGCGGTGAGGTTGTCAGCCTTACGCGCTGGCCGCCCTTTAGCCGCCAGGAAAATTCCTGGTACTCATTTCTGCTAGAGACTGAGTCGAACCCAGGGCCATAGTGTGGCAGGAAGGATTGGTTAATTTGAAAAAATCCACCTCATCGAGACTAGAACCTTCGATCTTCAGGCTTGTAGCATAGTGCCTCAACCAACTACTCTACCGCGTGCTTCCTTGACAAATTTGTCCTCCTGAAATTGTGTTAAACTTCGATTATCTTCAAGTCAATCTTTAAGTTCATCGATTCTGATCAACAGATTACAGTTTCAGTTCTGTCACAAACATCTGTTTAATGCCAGATCTTAGGTTCTCACAATCGTAACCACGAACAATTCTGTCTTATGAGACACATCGTGTCATATTCCATAAAACAGAATTCGTTCTTTCTTCAATGTTTTCGCAAATTATTGTATGAAATATATTTACTGAATTGTTTAATTAACAGGATGGTTTATCCTTATGCAATATATAACCACAACATTTCCAGTGTGTATATTAACATACTGTGAGATAAGCTCCAGTTATTTCCTGGAATAAGCATCAAACAAATAAATAAACTTCGTGCAATTATTTTCTGTAGAAGTTTATGTTTGTCTAATGAAGTTTCAATCAATGTCAGCCTTTGTTACGGATGCTAATTAAACTCCAGTTGTGACGCACCAGTAACGGACTGTCAGATGCAAAGTGAACTATTTTTTTTTTATCTTCAAGGACTCCTGTTATGCTAAAATACCTGTACGCTACTTGATGTTGTTCTCAGAATCACCAGTGCTTGCGACATACAGCCAGATACCGGTCCCTATGTCGGTCGTCCAGTACCCTACAATCCCCACTAACATCTCTTCTAGACATGCTTCCATCTTGATTTCTTCTTCTCCCTGGTTCTTCTCAGTCTCTTCTAGACAGGTCTCCGTCGTTTCTACACTGACATTCTTTAGGGTTTTCATCCTTTCGTGACTGGCTTTCATTGCGCACATCCACTTCTCACTGTTAGCTTCTGTTTTGGCTTGGCGGTCTTCATGCCAGGAGACGAGAGTATCCCGAAGGATCTCAACCTTCTAGTTACTGGCCTCTATCTTTGCCGTTATCTTGGGCTCGAACTTTGCAATGATGGCTAAGAGACACTCAAAATCAGTAATAATTAACAGCTTCCTGGGTTCGAATCTGACGACACACAATCCAAGATGTCCTACAATTCAATCCAAACGATCAATCCATCCAATCACGTGTATGGAATGTGACTATAGACTTGTTTTAGATTAATGACCGGGTTAACTGGACACTCTGATACAAAATTCGTGACTACATTTTAAAGTTCAATGCTACACAGTCACGTCTTTAATACCGTTGCCTGGTAGCGGCTTCCAACGGAGGAGGTTCCTCTTCATCTGGGTTACCGGTCTGTCTCCGGCCTCAACTAGCAGCTTCTATCAGCAGCAGTTCAACACTACTGAACCCCAACAGTCCTTTGGCTACAACTGAGTCTTATGTTACGACGACGGTAAGTCGGCCAGTGTGTCTTAGAATAAAGCATCCATCTGGGGCTTACGAACAGATATATATTACTGTCAGAGATTTTCGGGTTTTTTAGTGTGGGGCGCTGTCTCTGAAGAGAGGATGGGTCTGTCGTTTACAATTGCTGCTGGTCCTCGCCAGCGCAGTAATTTTCGGATCCGACTCCCGTGGGACTCGTAACTATATTTTACTGTCTCACATTCAAGACTCCCCTTTTCGTCGCTTCCTATGACTCGCAGGGTTACGGTGGAGATATTCGACCCCACCTCCACACTTTGTGACAACTGCCAAATTTGTCTGCTTATATCATCTCTGCACGGGCTGCCTAGAAAACGCCTCTTCCATTATTGCTGTATTCTCTTGTTGCTGGGTCGTTACTTAGCAATGGTTTATTTCGTTATCGTTGCCTAGCAGCGGGTCTGAATGCTACGATATAAACATGCATACATAGAAAGGTAACTGATGTAAGAATCGTGTATTCCTGTATTTTGTAGTAGGCCTGTACTTTAAACATTGTTCCTAACTGTGAGATGGGCCTGTACTTAATGCGTTTATTAACTGCCGAGAACACAGATGACAAATTTCGTGTCAATTGATGCTTTTTTATGACATCAAGATCCAGCTCATGATAATTAAATAAAGTACGCTCTTTCTAACCATGCAAGTCAACAAACGTGTTATTTATCAGCAGAACCATAGCTCTACTTACCTAATAGTCTGCTTATAAATTTATATTACATATGCTATTAAGGGTGAACTTTCTAGCGAAACACATTATATTTTCGACCTTCTTTATTGAGAAAATTATATTCGCGTGTTAAAGTGAGACAATGAATTTACTACGGCAGAAGGGGTGTTGCTTTCTATTACAGAGAAGTAACTTCTTGTTTGTTGACCTAATTGCGTCCAGTCTAAAAGCGTCTGATCCTGTGTTATGATTCAGCGAATAAGACTCGTGCTTAATTGAATCCTTAATGGAACAAAATAACAGCAACGTATCATTACTGTATAACAAAGTCAAAATATCAAAATCGGAGAGGCGTGAGTGACTAGTGCAATTAGCGTGTTATATGAATACAGGTAACTTACTGGAACACGCAATATTTCGTATTGTGAAAAAAATCGTTCGCTGTATTATGTTGTTTATTTATTGAACTGGGATACAATCAATTCTGAAAGTTCCACAGTGGTACACCTGCAGGATAGTGTAGACTATATAGTCATTTCGCGGCTACATAAGCCTGCGGATACATCTACACAATGGCATTCACGACCATATGCATGTCTGTGGTGTTCATGTTGGTGACACTGGGATCTTCATCACGTGACGAATATGCGTTTTCTGTAGACACACTTCCTGATATTGTAGTTTCAGTACAACAATATGTCAGATCAGGATGCGTGTTCATTCTGCGTCCTGACATGATGGGTAAGTTTAATATTTCCTTCAGTCTTATGCAGAAAGAAATTATTTAGATAATCTTGGCATTTCTCTGTTGCGTAATTTGTGCCGTCAGACAAATATGACACTGTTTCGTCCAACTATAATTACCTTAGTATTTTTTATCCTGATTTCAGAAACACTGCAAATAAATCTGAGGTCAAATATTAAAGGTAAATTTGTCCCTGTGTTTAGCTAATTAAGCGTTAAGTTATGAAGGCGTATGGGGAAGCGATATATAGATCCACGTTTTCTTTGACCTCGACACTAGCTGAATGTGAGTGGTCAGCTTTATGCTCCGGCCGCTTTATCCTCGGGGAAAAAGCCCCCTCTATCCATTGGATAGGATGTTAGTGGACTCCAGTACCGGTCTGGAAGATATGGTGAAAGGAAAATTCTTGAACCTACCAGCGACTCGAACTCCGACCCTTCCGCCGTCCAGCCCGTAACTAGTCTCTATAGCGACTACGCTATCTCAGCTTCTTAAGTTAAGTATTACATGTAAATAGGATACAAGATGTGAGTCTGTCAAATCTGCATACTTGTATAATCCAACGCAACAGAAGAGACGAGAGATATAGAAGTGAATAGTAGGATCAGCTCGGCTATCGGTCACGGTAGCCGAGCGGTTTAAGGCATGCACTGTCTTCGTTTGCTCGGAAGCCGGGATCGTGGTTTCGAATCCCACTCAGGGCATGGATATTTGTGTGCGTTTTTCTGTGTTTCTCTACAGGTAGAGGCCTTGCGACGAGCTGATCACTCGCCCAAGGAGTCCTACAGTATGTGTAAGATCTAGAAAAACCGAAGTGAACGGAGTTCATGGGCCTAGGCCCACTGGGGCTGTAGTGCCAAGGGAAAAGGGAAAGAGCTTGTAGCATCCAGACTTTGAATTAGAAGAAGAATAAGATATCAAATGTTATAAATATGAAAATGTAAGCAACGATATTAGGTCATTCTTTAGTTTTTCAGCCTTCTGTATACAAAATAAAAAATATTTCTTGGCTACAATGTTTGTAAAGTGTTCTTGCTCTTTCATGTTATTTGTATTGCATGCTCTCCACCCTGAATATGTGGACAGTATATGTTTTCATGCGAAATGTCGATGAACCTCCACCAGAATACATGGCGTCACATCGCATTGGATAGTACTCTTCGCTGTCGCTATTGCGAGAATCTAAAAAAGGAACTACGAACGAATATATATGAAATTTGGCAATTGTAGTGTTGTGCCCCAAGTTATGAATGGATAAGTTTTATGTTTATTTTATTAGAAAATAATTATAAATTTTTTAAATTGAAATACATTGGTTGAACCACAGATTGGTCAGCCGGAAACCAGGGCTGAGATCACCTTTAGACGTAGCAAATCCCGTAGCCTTCGGGTCCGGTGATACAGTTTACAGAAATTGCTGAGCAATCGGAAGAACGTCACAGCAGCAAGTTTCGCCTAGCAGGACATCGGCCAGGAGGAATCTGCCGATTTTAGGATTTTGAGTGCACAGAATTTTTATGATGTTGAATTTTGAGGGGCTCGGACGGGAGAAGCCGCGAACACTCTGATTTTAGGAGACGCTCAGAACTGTCGTGCGGTAGGAAGGAGACGCGAAGGAGTCAGATGTCTTCCTCTTTGTTAAGGGTGGCTACTTGCCTGTGTTCGGATCACTGATGGTTGTCAATATATAATTATCGTTCAACGATTTTGGTTTGTTAAAGGATTTTCAGAATAAAATTGGTCAAAAAATTTAACGTATAAACTTTGGTTCATGGATTGTAAAAGAGTTTTTTTTTAAATTTATTGAGCAGTTATGAGAATATACAAATTTTGATTTATCAAGTGTTGAGTAAGATGCAAGAATTTGGTTGAGTAATTAAGCTTAAGACGTAGTATTTGATTTACTGGTTGCTTGTTGAAAATATCAATTTTGACTAGTTGACTGAGTGTTACTATAGGAAATAAGGTTTATTGATGTTAAGAAATGAAATTTGGGTCACTAATTAGTGGTTAGCATACGAAATTTGGTTTATTGTTAAGATATAAATTCTGGTTAGCGAATGATGGTTAGAGTGTGAATTTAGTTCACTGTTATTACATGATAATTTTGGTTTACTTGGTTTACGCCATGCAGGTTCAGTATACTAGAGGCAGTAAGGTTTAAGAGGTTATTGCAAGGTGTGTAATCACAGATTGTGTGTGTTAATAGGCTGTACGTATGTAATTGTTAATTTAATTATATTTGTTTTCGTTTCAAATATATTTAGTGTTTATTTGGGTATTTTTTTATTGCTAGTGGGGTGCGACTAAGTCTCTTGCACTGCAGCCACTTCTGGCCTCTTGTACCAGCCCCAGATGATAGGTGAGGGTGATTGTGGAGCAATTGGTGGAATAAAGATTGGCAGGAGAAACCGAAGTGCTCGGATAAAACCTGCCGCAGCGCCACTTTGTCCACCACAAATCCCACTTGACCAGACCTTGGATCGAACCCGGACCGCCGCGGTGGGAAATTATTTGTGTATCAGTAATAATTAATTCATTGGGCGAAATAGAAGCTATCCACAGATATTGAACTGGTGGCAATTAGGTGGGATTTTTCCAATTTTGATGGTGGCAGCGTTGGAATAAGAATAAGAAATTTTGGTGCCTCACCCCAGCTTTTGTAATAATAAACTGGCTCCAAGGCAGGAGACACAATAATTGGTAGCAGCGGTAAAATATAATAAAAAAATTTTGCGTCACAGTTCATTGTAGCGCAATAGTAGTTTTCATATTACACGAGCCCTTTCAGCAGAATCTGCTTTTGTTCCTTAACGGTATATTACAGCCCCTATATTATATGACGATCTTGAGTTTTATAAAACATCCCTTATCGTACAAGATACGTACATCGTAAGGAGTGAGGAAATTTTTGAACATACGCCCAAAGTACTTTTTCAACAAATGAAAGAGGAACGACGATAAGCAAAGGTCATTTGTGTAAATTATATGTACTCCATTTTTGTACGCTTTTCAGACTTGGTAAAGTTATGACAAGGATGGGTAAAGGTTCAATTTACTGAATAATTAAAGCAGAGTAATACAAATTTATTTCTCCTAAACGAATATTTTAAACATTTATAGACGAATATCATGTAACAAATTTCAATAGGATTCCATTCCAATCTACATTTCAATAAAAATTCTGTATCAATTAATGAATAGCAATTATAACAGAAACTCAGTTCTGTAACGGACAGTTTTTTCTCTTGTAAATTATGCCTATGTGGGCAGTTTCACATGGATATTCCATTTTACTAACATATTTCGGGGGAAATCCTCATCTCACGAACCTTCAACAACAGAAATTTAAGTTTATTAACACATTAATTTTCCGACCGTTCATTTAGGCAGTAACTTAGGCCTAAATCCCTTTACAGTTAAAAATTTTGTTATGAATCATTAGAATAATTTCAAGTACAACCTGTGTATAACAGTATCCAGCATCAAGTAATTGCTTTCACGTACTATAATAAGCCTTTTCTCTCCTGCTAGCATAAAACCTTGATTACATTTTCCACGTTAATGTTTGCCATCAATTTACGGCATAAATCTTCTTTAGATGTTAGGCTTTGTGCAGTTACTCTGAATGTCTTCTACGATCTCAACCATCAGCTTCTTATTCAAGTTACTACGAAAGAGCAGGTTAAGAAAATGTTAACATATTCTAGTTCGATTCTCTACATGGCAACGAGTTACCGTGACTAGGATTTATTTTGGTTTTAGGATCTTAGTTCCAAATCCTAGAAAACTACTTACTTCCAGATGCTTCCCTATATAACAATCATGATAATTTGCATGTTTTCCACCGTTCCGGTGGAAGTATGTTAACCCGTCTCCACTCGGGAGCTGTATGATTATAGAGCACATATAACACTAGCCCGTACGTGTTGAGATTATGCTAGATAATCCCAAATTATTACATCCTTTGAATTTTACAACTGTCGGACCTCAGTCCCCGGTCGCAGTGGTCGTGCAGTCTAGAGCACGAACCGTCTTCGCTTGCTCGAAACCTGGGATCGTAGGTTCGAATCCTACTCAAGGCATGGATGTTTGTGTTTATTGTGTGTTTGTGTTGCTCTGTATGTAGGTAGCGACCTTGCTACGTGCTGATCCCCCGTCCAGGGAATCCTATTACGGAACTGAATAATAGGCCAAGGCCCAACAAAGTGCTGTACTGCCATTGATGAATGAATGAATGAATGAATGAATGAATGAATGAATGAATGAATGAATGAATGAATGAATGAATGGTGCTCAGTCTAAAACTAAACTGGATTGTCCTTACCGTGAATACCGAACTCCCCTAGACAGACAAATTTGAAGTATTATACGCAGACATACAGCCTGCTTTCGTAATGAAATGGTATAGAAACGACGTGAGATTATAACAACATAGTGTGCCGACAGGGCACTGAACACGTTGGTTCAGCTAGTGGTAATGTTGCCGGTAGATGGATTTGTTATAAACCGTCGTTTTTATTAAAAGCCTTGTTTATATGGTAGAAGTAAAGAAAAAGTTATCCCTTTATTTAATTATGTAATTAAGCACTACGCCATGCTAGCATATGAGGTCAATGGGGGTAGGACTATAGCTTTACCATTCTTGACCTTGGTACTTGTTGCAGGTGAATGGTCAGTTTCAAGACCCGGCCGCTTAACCCCCGGAGGAAGAGACCATCGGTACCCATTACATAGGAGGCTGGGTGGGCTTTAGAGACGGTGTGGACGCTAAAGAAAGAGAAACATCCGTTAACTCTGCCAAGAATAGAACCCCGGGAGGCCAGTCTGTGGTCTAATCGCTAACTGAGCTATCCCGGCTCAGTTGCTTAGACGCGCATCGTAGTATCCGAATTTTTTATTCTTCCTGTATTGGGTATCGTGATAAAACATCATTGTAGCGTGAGCTGTATTATTAATACGTATTAAAGAACACACAAGGGGCCTGTGGCCTTTG